TCGAAGTACCTGTAGACAGTCACCCATTCACATGTGATCCTTAAACATGTTTGTGATGATAGCTCAAGGTGACTTATTAATAATTTCTATTTCTATTTCGTTTGACTCCAGCTTTCCAAACATGACTACTAAATAGGGTAGACCACCTTGCTACCTTCAATGCATTTTTAATTATCAATTAATCTCAATGGAGTGAAAGATTTGTCAGGAAGTTATCCAATCTAATCTGGGAATTTTTAGACCGCCAATATCTAGCTCCCTAATTAAAGGCACTGATGGGTGAGAGTAAAAAACGACTAAATATTTCGTCCAGGATTCTCCTGGGAAAGACTGGAGTTGTGGCTAGTTGTATATGGACTAAATGTGGGTTTTGAAAGTAAAGCAGGTCACACGAGCCTAGTATCTCTTTGAAAGAGCGGAGGTTTTGAGAAAGACTGTTCCACAACCTGGGCGCAGAAGCAGCGAAAGATCAATCGCCGAGCAAAGAATTTTCAGAAAGATAAAGCACTGCCATTTTGAAACATTGAGGGAATAATATCCATGTATGGCATAACGAATAAAAGCACTTTAAAAAAAAAAGACAAATCGCAACCATTGCTGCTGATGAAAAAATGTATTTTCCCTTATAATCAAAATAAAGAATGTAATGCTTTTTCATGATCATGATTAAGCAGTCAGAATTAGAGATTGATTTTTAAGATCTTAAGGCATGCGTGAAGTTGCTGTTTAAAAATAATCTGCCCAAGGCATGTACATTGCCTTTTTGAGGATCCCCACTCACCTTTAAAACGTTCCATCATCATTCTGTCAACACCCAGAGGCCTTAATTTGCTTAATTCGCCATCGGTTTTTACACAAGATCTGTGTGGTTTGCACTTTATTAAGTGGACATTATTATGTATCGCTTTGATTCCAAGAATGCAAGAAGAAATTAAAAAAATTCCCGTCACGTTCCTGTCTGGGAAACGATACAATTGGAGCGTGGTCGTGTTACATTGATAGATTGTGCCAGGAAAATATTTACATAGAACGATATTGAAGAAAAAAAGACAATTACGGTTGGTTTAAATGAGGATGATGCCCGAAACAAGAAGAACCCATCGTAAGAGGGAATAAACTTAATTTCATAAATGATGGTAATTGAATTGACACAGAGAGAAAGAAAGAGAAAGGAAGAGAAGTAGGAACCAAATGATGTAAAGAAAGAAAGAGACTGAGAACGAGAGGGAGAGAGAGAGAATGAAATATTCAATGGAAAAGAAAGAAAGGACTCGTAGAACAGTAAATCGATCTATACTGACTACACTGGGAATGATCATGTTGTTCTCATGCAAAATAGTTTGGTTGAGTTTGGTTTGGTTTTCCGTATAAAAAAACATGTATATAATTTTTATGAACATGAAAAATAATGATAATTACAATAAAATAATACGGATGGATCGCTCTATTCAGAGCCATTAATCTAATGGCTTTGTTCTTCCTAGAGTTCTAGTAATGTCTAGTACCATGAGTAAGGTGGGAATACCCCGTTTTTAACCAAGCTCCGAGTAAGTGAACATAAAGCGGAGAGATCGAAGATCCGACAACTGCGACAAACACGTATTGTTGAAATGGAGAGGGATGTCTGACCAACATGTCCCTAATATTTCCATAAAATTATCTCACGAGCCAAACAATCAACAAACAACAAGAACAAAAACAGCACCAAGACTAATATTCTGATAAAAGCTTTGCGAAATAACGTGGGTCAAACACTAAGGGATCTTCAGATTATTATGCAATTTTAACCGCCCACATTCTATTCTCAGAATAAACTATCGAATATCAATGCACTAAAACTGTAGATGAGGGAAATAAAATATTGTGACCTGAGATTGCTTATATGAAAATATATGTCTTGGATGAATGTTCTGTGATGTTCACATAAGGCAAGATAAAGGTACATGGAAAACCGATAAGAGGCATGGAACCAAAGGAGAGGGGCACTTGTCAGTATGCTCGTTTTTCAACGGTCCGTTTATGAGCCTACGAGACCAGCACTGAGGGTCTGATGGGATGTCGGTCTAAGGAACCTTCTAAAGAGCCCACGAAACCGTCACTGTCGGTCTCGTGGGCTGTAGCCCTGTCTGTAACTCGGGAGCCACTCGTTTTGCCCAAGGCTCATCATTCCGAAGATTCGTAATGCCAAACATGATTTTATCATACACACTAATACAAAAGTATGCAATTTAGGGGTGCAAACCGATGCAACACTGGCAGCACCTTTAGGGGTTAAATCCTGCACCCTTTTAAAGGTGTAATCCTGCACCCTTTAAAAGGGTGCCAGATTGAACCTTTAGGGGACATGTTAGTACTCTTTATGGTTCAATCCTGTACCTTTAGGGGTGCAAACCGATGCAACACTAGCAGCACCTTTATGGGTTCAATCCTGCACCCTTTAAGAGGGTGTCAGATTGCACCTTTTAGGAGACATGTTAGTACCCTTAATGGTTCAATCCTGCTCCATTAGGGGTGTAAACCGATGCAATTGCAGCACCTTTAGGGGTTCAATCCTGCACCCTTTAAAAGGTGCAATCCTGCACCCATACATGAGGAATACTCGTAAAATTCGCTCGTATACAAATACATATTAAACATGCATGTTGTTTCTTGGTTAGTAATCATATAATCAATATATCTATTGTTAAAACGTGAATGTAATTGTAACATGATCAGACAAAATAATATATTGGTTAATGATTGCCGAAGTAAAATACAAATCACAAAATTGATGTGCATTGTCATAATTTGCTTATGATAAATGTATTTTTATGTAAACACACGTGCAAAGTAATCATGAATATGCATGCAATATGCAAACTTTTATTTTGCACCCTTTTTTGGTCGATAGGGTTCATTTTTGTGGAAAGGTGCAAAATCTTATATTGCACCCTTTTTTGAACCCCTTTTCCTTCAATAGGGTTCATTTTTATGTAAAGGGTGCAAACTCTTATTTTGCAACCTTGTTTGCACCCTTTTTTCTTAGAGTGTACCTACTTTTGAACAAGACATTATTGCGTTATTCCAAAAGTTTGTTAAACCGAAGGTTTGTCATTCTGAGAGTTAAATAGTGTTCATTTTCCATGGACATATCCATATCTCTATAGCTATAGGGCTCGAGACATTGTAGGAGTAAGGGAGAGAGATAGAGGGTAACAATAAAGAGGGCGTGTGTGACGGAGAGACCGACTGAAAGATGACAATACCACGTAGACAACAGAAATATAGAGAGGGATAACATAACGATGCAGAAGAGAGAGAGAGGGAGAGAGAGAGCGAGAGAGAGAGAGAGAGAGAAAAAGAGATAATTTTTTAGATGAATAGCTGATTTCCGATTTCTCACTGACCGACCAATGCCAAACACACAATTCTACTTCTTTTGCATTTTAAGTTTTCTAGATCCCCCCCCCCTCCATCTGAAATGTGTTCTAATCTGCCAATGCACTAACAAACCGTACACTATTAAATTGTTAATCAAACCGTTAGGCGATTACGTTAACTTTGTCCATCACCATTGGAAATGTTCGATTACAGCAATGTCATGAAATTACAATGTATTTACAAGACAAACAGCATGCTCTATTGAATCATTGTATTATTATTGCAAAGAAAACATTGTATTTATGTAGATATCTTGAGATATTCGCTTCTTTTAAATTATTTATTATTAAATTAAATCAAACGTACATGTACCTTACAGAAAAATATATTTGTTATAAGGATAGATCCATGCATAGATTTCGCAAAAAATGGAATGTGCTAAAATTAGGATGATGTAGTAACATGTTTATGTTGTCTGTCTTTTTTTCTTTGTTTTGTTTATCCATAATTTCGGTTTCTACTCGTACTATATTTATCATCATTTTGTATTATGATAATGATATATTTGAAATACATGTGTTTCATTATAATTTGTATTATGTATGAGAGGTTTTAACCAAATTTTACAAAAAAATATTTAAAAAATTGAAATTCATTGCGAGATTGTTATGCCGTGATAGTAAAAGGGTTCCTGACTGCTTTATTTCAAGCTGCGTTTGATTTTGTCGGTATATTGATCAATTTGTATAATGAAAAGAGGCCAGTGAGCTCCGTAAAATTAACCATCTACATGTAGATCAATCCCAAGTTGTAACTCTGTAGAATAATAAACAGGTAATCAAGATTTAAAGATGTCGCCTTCGTATTTATTTGAGCATGACCACGCATAGATGGAAAGACATGACATGAAGTGACTAAGAAACATAGTTTTATTATAAAAAATCTCCATAAGCAAATAAGATTGTTCTAAAAGCAAGCAAGTTCCCGTCAACCATTACGGGCAACACTAGGTACACCTCCACACATTTTGAATTATGAAGACAATGTCTGTTTCATTAATTCAATTAAATTAAAGTAAATTCTTATATTCGCATATACATTAAACGATCAAAAGGTTTCGTTTCACACTTCTGTAAAAATGAAAGCTAATTTGTTTCACAAAAATCAGGTGAGCAAAAGAACTATTCTTTCCTGAATGAAAAGAAAATCTACAATGAAATTCAATATACATTTACAACATTTAGAGAACCACCGACAAACGAGGCCTAATGTTATCAGACACTTAATCACTGTTGTGTGTAAAAGTGAAGGTTTACTACACTTTATCACTGGTATGTGTCTGAAACTAAGGTGGACATTTTCTCACTACTGTGTGTATGAAACAAAGTTTTAATGCACTTTATTACTGGTATGTGTATGAAACTGAGGTTTACACTTTATTACTAGTATGTGTATGAAACAAAAATGTACATTTTATCACAGTCTGTCGTGTGTTTGAAACTAAGGCTTACACTTTATCACTTGTGTGCGTATGAAACTATGGTGTACATTTTATCACTGTTGTGTGTATGAAACTAAGATGTTCCAAAAGCATGACAAGAACTGACAACTGTGTCAAACTATACAAAAAGAACAAATATTTATTAGTAGGACTTCAGATAGTGCAGACAGCGCAAGTAATTTCGTAACCATCGATATAGGCTCCACAATCCAAGCCATCACCCGCCACACACCGGACTTCTGTGAAGTACAACAGCGCACCATTCTGATTCCCCGCGGTCCCCGCTTTATGAACCATCTCGCGGTCCACACAAAGAAATTCCGATTTCTGGTATCCGTGGTAATCTGCCATAAGATAACCAGCGTACTCTAAACGCCACTCTTGAGAAGGGCACACGTTGCGGGCAGGAATCATAAGTTTGCTGGTGCGGCCAGAGGGCGCCCTGCAGACTGCACAGGTCGGAGTATGGTCATGCATTGGTTGCATGCGTGAAGGACCATTGGCGAGTGAGTATTCAGAGGAGTACAGTAGGGCTCGGTGATCATGTGAGGAAGTTTCTACTTCGTCATAAATAGGCTCGTCCGGCATGCAGAGATGATTTGAGCCGCTACCAGTATGACTGTAGTGTGCACCTCCAATAGTACCTGAATAAATCACAAATCAATGTTACGCAAACAAAGAACCTACTTAAAGATGAAGTTGAGTTCTGGTCATGCGATTGCATTGTGATAGAAACGGTGTGGAATCGATCAGAAAAGGTTGATCATCGTGTGTATTGCAAGGTTCTTGAATCATCAAAATGGTAAGATATTTGGCCAAGTCCTGGTAAAGTGACAAGCTCTGTACACAGACAGATGTATATGGGACAACACGAACACGTGGCGTAAAAATTCGTCCCGATTTTTACGATGTTACATGCCATATTTAAAATATGAAGGTATTTGAAGAGCCATGCTTTTCAGGGAACATGATTTATCTGATGTTCTTCCACACTTGCATAATAACAATGATAACGCTTACAAATTATTTGTCACCGCTTTTCAGAACTTAATCTTCTCTTTAAGTTCAAATTCATCGGAATCTAAATTAAGAATGATGTAGGACTAATGACAGCCACTGAAGGCAACTCTGGAGAACGTTAAATAAATAATTTTCTTCCCGGTACGAATTTAAACCTGGGTGGAGAGTGGCAAATGTAGATACATATCTTGGCAAAAGACATTCGTAGGGGTGTGGGACTCGAACCACGAACCATATGATCTACTGCCTCTACGACACCTCAACAACCAATGACGGCATCTCAATTTTGCACTTGGGTCAATCCTCATGGTTGGTAATGGAATTACATAGCTCATTTGCCAAACAGTTTGCAAAAGGATGTCGTGGTCTAGCGGTACGTCACCGGAATGTTTATCACATGGTTCGCGGTTCGAGTTCCGCATTTAATGTGCGTTGGCAAAAATGTATCTACATTTTCCACACTGCCACCCTGAAGTAGAAAGTGTGAATCTGGTAAATATTAATTATTGAATGCCTTAACTGTTTTAGGGCAGCTGGGCTAATGCCATTTTAATTTTTATGTTACTTGTAAGCGCCTAGATAATCCAATAGGATTGATATTTGCGCAATTAAATTGTAGCTATCATTACTACCTTAATATCAGTGAATGTTATGATCTCATTTGTACAGCATGACCTTAAGTTTAATAATTTTTTTAATCGTGCTTATACTGTATAAATAAGGGTAGAATCACAATAACTCAAAGAAACTTGGCATACGTTTGTGCATTCACGTAACCCTCACCCATTCTTATGCACTTAAGTTTCGGCCAGTGACGCTATTGAAGGCATGTGTTTCGTTTGTGGTGATGAAGAATTTTTGCGCAACACCAGATTGATTATAGATCAAACTAACATTGACTTTCGAAAAAAATAACTCGAGGTTATTTCATACTCTATTATGAATCCAAATATGTTTGAGATACGTTAAAGTGTTCGCACAGTTCAATATGACAGACGGACAAGGCTATTGAAATTGCCTGTGGTTGATTTTTATGAAAGTCCTTGCGATCCTGTCAAAACCATGTTTAAAGTTTTCTTCCCCATGTGATATTACCCATCTGTACCAACCTGAATAGATGAGTTCTGCATCTTCGGGACATACATCGTTACCCCAGCGAATGTAGATGACACCAGGAAGACTTGTCGTGGTGCCTACTGGACGCACTAGATCATCATCGTCGCTGTGTGAAATGGGTTTTTCCTCAGCTAAAATGTTAAACATTTAAAGAAATTATACATGGGAGTCCATAGGCAGGATTTATTTCATTACGGATATTGTCTAATGCGGTTAATATAAGAAAGCCGAAAAATCTATGAACGAACATATTGTTTGTTTAATTTGCCCGGTTTATGTTCTCACAATTATCAATGGCTAATTGCACGTTTGCTTTTTTTTAAGCGGCTGCTGTTTTCTCATGAGAATGTGAAAACAAAACACCCTTGAGTGACCTCCAACTATCCGTCTCCAATTTTGTATTTGTTTGATATAAGCCTATAGTATCTCTTCATTGTGTAAATTCCCAAAGACTACACAGGAGTTACAATATCCGAAGAATTTTCCAATAGCTTGAATTTTTATTTCGCTAACCATGCATTCCGGCTTGAATAATCACAATGTCACTATTATAAATCTTCTACAACCTCTGCATGTCGTGCTTTATCGAGTCAGATAGATGTCGTTATAGGCCTACCTTGTGGACTCGTCGGTGCATCCCTTCCGTCTCTGCCATCCCTTCCAGGAACACCAGCAGGACACAAGAAACATTGACCTAAAGAAGAAACAGCATATATATTTGATATCCAGGTTAATGATCTGCGAGGCTTAAATACTTCTGCCTGCATATATTTCAAGTAAAATAGCTCTTTCTGAACAATGTTCTCAACCTGCATGTTAATGACCTACGTCATACGTTCCATTGATAATTTCTTGTTTCTTTTAGTTGACTCATAGAGATTTAGTTTCGAATATTGATGTCTTCTATTTTCGGAGTTTGAAGGGACTCACGTGGCCAACCAATATGATCTATGACCCTGGAAGTTCGTATAGGCATTGAGGGCTCTCTTATTTTTCTATTTTCTTCTAGTTAACGCATCTATATAAAGATTCAATGATGTCTATACTTTCGAGACGTACAGTTTACCAGTACGGCCCTGTCTAATGAAGTGGTTTCAGATTTGATTTTGGAAATTTCGAGGTCCATTTCCTGATTATTACATGCTGGGTTTTTAGGCGCCTCAAGGCCTGCAAGGTGTCAAACGCTCATGTAGACGATACATTATTTGCTAGTGTCTATAGGACTTTATACTCAAGCAACTTGCGTGGTCTAGCTCTTTTTGGCATGCCTGGTGGTGAGAGTATCATCATTCGAAAGGTAAATGCAACGTGAACATTTGATTTCCTGGCGCACGCTCTTATTTTCTTTATAGGTGGGCCTTCGTGTACGGTGGGCATTAGAGAAATCATAAAACTTTTGGTCTCTGTTACATGAGACCTTAATCAATTACCATTTTTTAAGCTATGCTAAATTCATTACATTAGATTCGCTAAGAGGAATTTTGTCATATAATTTAAGCATATGTTATTTATAAGACATTATAATAAACTGGGACATGAATTGCATACCAGAATACATAGGCCATGAGTATGGTCCGAATGGGTTCTGTCCCAGGCTTGGCTGCTCGGCACCAGATGGTGGGAACGATGTCGGGAGAGTCGATGGCGAATCCAGTTCCCTTCGACGTCGTGTCTTTTCAGGTTCTCTCAGCTCAAACTCGGTCTTGAGAGAGTCAGGAATGTGGATCTTCGCCATCATTGATGGATTCTTCGCGACGAGCTCGAGAGTTGAGAATGAACGGGTGATTTCAGCAACGGATTCCTACAGGATTTTGTGGTTGAAAAGTTAAGAAACATGTTTTAGAAAGAAAGTCATTAATACGTACCCTCGATATTATTTTCTTTGATTAAGGCAGTGTGATGAAGCTACTCTTCAAATCTGGTATATAATTGTTTTCTGGTGAAACATGCCTTCCAACCATACGATAAGTTGTCAGTAAGCTATAGGCATTTGTCCCAACACATGTTGATCAAAGATCCACCTTCGAGTAGTATTAGTAGACTTTGAAGATTGTAATCATTCATAAAAAGATGACCTAAAAGGTGGTCTAAACGCGAATTATAAAATTTAATTGTTCTTTAGTATGAAATAATCTCTAAAATCGGTTAGAAATACAAATAATGTGTGGAAGAATAAACGAAAAAGATATTTGCGTAAAAGTTGTAGTCGCATGCCTGGTGTAGAATAAAGGACAACTCTCAAATAATGTGTAATGAAAATATGCGAGAGAAAAAAATTATATAGCTTAAAACGTTCTTCTGGAAAACAAAAGAGAGAGTTTTTCACATGAAATCGTACGTTAACCATCCATCTAGGCAACTAACAGTCTCACTCGTTGAGTCGTGAAATGAACATGAAAAAATCATTGCTTGATGATATTGATTTTCCTTTTCCATTGTAATTTCTGAAATGTGACACGTTTTAACGCTTGGTGTTCGGTACATTTAGTGGACTAACTCGCTTCATTTATGCACATAACAAACAACGCATCGCGTACACGATGCAGTCGACTGGCGTCGTCTGTTAGGCGCCATTTGAGGTGGCGTTACTTAATGCAAAATTAACAGTTAACACAACGTGTTGAATTCGCTATAATCATTGCCTTCACAGTTTTGATTAGCTGGGGTAATTGGCGATCAAGATGTTATCTATCCCAGAGGTTCATCTCATCTCATCTGTCCCGTAGTCTGGCTGACCGTTGGGGCACCACTGTAGATTTTACAACCAGCTTCCTTCATTCCTCGCGGTTCTCAGCTTTCCTCAGGGACTGAGTCCAAGGTAAATCCCAGAGCTTATCTATTTACAAAGAGTGGAGACAGCGGAGGTCGCTTCTGATTGGTCAATTATTTCATGGAGCATTGAATAGTTCCCTCCCATAGTAGTAGACCAGCAAACCATCAAAAGGGGCTTTAAAAAAATATTCCATGGCTTTTCTTTTGGAGGGAGGTCAATGCAAAGCATCCATGCTAAAAATCGTGCAACATACTAGACGAAGTGGTGGATTCCACGCGCCATATTTACTTTAAAATGTCATTTTTCGGCTGATGAGTACTCGTCGCAGTCTGTCTCCCCAACAATGACCCAACAATGAAATTACGATGTAAGATTTAATTTATGTATGTAAAATGGGCCCTCATCCATGATAACAATTAAGGTTTTCTTCACGTTATTAGATATACATATATTTCTGTTGTCTTGCTGAAGTAAAATATGCTTTCTTGTACAGTCATTTATTTCGAAATAGAAATTGCCATCACGTTATATGTAAGGTGCCATGTCAAAATAAAATAGATAACCGCTCTCAGGTACATTCATCTCATTTGATTTTTGTAACTCCAGAGCAGCGGAAAACGTTGATTTTGTGAAAAACAAATATCAGAAACGGTTACAGCATTGTAATTACATGAGAAAAGAAAATGTTTAAGCTAATAAAGTGTCTTTCTTCCTCGCTCGCTGACAATATTTTGAAAGCAAGGCGCTCGAGTATATATTATATCTTTTCTGTCGAAATTACATCTTTAACACACTCATTACATTTAAAAACATGATAAATAAGGGCAACGAGAAGCCCAAATAGCATCATATCCCTGTATCAAGGTCATGACCGAATATATCTTTTCTATTCATGTACATATGACGGCGAGGTGCCCGCATACAGTACTTTAAATCGTTTGTAGTGTTTTGATCACAACGATATATTTTTTTTTTTACCAGTTTGAAAAAAAAAATCCTTTTTTATTCTTGCTCGTTCGCTAAATTACAAAACAAATGTGCCCACACGTCTGTACAGCCAGAGTAATGCAAAATAAATAGTCTGTGAAGAATTTGGGATTTGGAGAATCTTTTCATTTCTTAAGAGGGTACCGTGACTAACAAAAAGTTGAAATAACGCTGCTCCAGAAAAATGCATTTCCATGCATTTTGATACGCACTGGACAATTACCTAAAACTTACTTCCTTCATGGAAAACAGCAACCGGTACTGGTGTTGCGTAAATTATAATCAAAGAGAAATGGGTAGTAATGATGAAGATAACGTGCTATAGTATTTGAACAAATGTTGGTTCATGCATGGGATGTTTATGGGCTCGAAGCCATCTCTCAATGTTTCAGATTTGTTTTGGTATTGAATCCTGATTTACACGGGGGGGGGGCGAAATGTCCTCGGGGGTAATTGTCCTTGGGGGGGGGGGTGATGAAGAAAGAATGACAAGAGAAACAGATGACAGATTAGACGAACAATAATTTAGAAAAGGTAACTAAGTTAAAAGGTCTTAAACTTGCTCATCTGAATTGCTTATCCTTACTTAGGAATTTCGATAAACTTTGTTCCATTCAAGAAAGAATGAGCATAGATTAATTAAGTAAAACTCATATTGATGATTTGATAGATGATTCAGAATTAAAAATTGATGGGTATGATATCGTGAGAAAGGATAGGAATAGGAGAGGAGGTGGTGTTGCGGCCTACATCAGATCGAAATTGAAATATAATATTCGAACAGATGTAATGAGTGATAAACTTGAATTAATAGCTATTGAGCTCAAAGTATCACACAGGAAACCAATTGTGGTACTTGTATGTTATCGGCCACCTAATGCAAATGTAGACGTATTTCAACAGTTTGAACGGGTCATACAAGCAATTGATGATCATGAATCTGATTTATTGATACTTGGTGACTTGAACTGTGATGTAGCATCATATACAAGGTCATGGCAGACAAAACACCTGTTTGACATTATTGAGAGTTATTTCATGGAACAAATCATAAATTCATCCACAGGGTGACACCACGTACCTCATCAACAATAGATGTTATTATAGCAAACAGACCCGAAAACATAACAAATTCGGGAGTTATTCCAATATCACTTAGTGATCATTATATGGTTTATTGTAATTTAGGATCAAAGTATAATGCATGCAACGAGAACTGCCATATAGATATAATATTTTTAATATATATTGGAAAATTGGATATGGATGATTCCCGGCCCCCCCCCCCCCCCCACTCAGTGTTATTTAGGGTACGCATATGCGTGTTCCACGCGACCCCCCCCCCCCCTTTTCAGCAAAAGTCCGGTGTGTAAAGTCAATACGGGTCGACCTTTTTCTTTTGTTATACGAGCCTTTTTCAGCACCCCCCCCCCCCCCCCTTTTCAGCAAAAGTCCGGTGTGTAAAGTCAATACGGGTCGACCTTTTTCTTTTGTTACGAAAGGACATTTTGGTAACACGCATGCGGTACGTTCGTTCTCGGAGTGGGGGGGGGGGGGGCCGGGGGATGATTACGGGCATGATGTAGATCAGATATCATGGGAATAAGTTGAGACGTTTGAGAATGTAGAATACGCATATAATTACTTTGAAAATAAGTTGTTAAAGGTTATAGAAAAACATGCTCCACTGAGAAAGAAAAGAATTCGGAAACTCGAATCTCCTTGGATGACAGAGGAAATCATTGTATTAATTCGTTCCA